ATACATACATACATACACACATACATACATACATACATACATACATACATAGATCCATACATACATACATACATACATACATACATACATACATACATACATGTATGTAATCAAGGTGTGTATGTGTGCAATGCAATGCAATGTCTTTCGATGTATTGTAAGGTAAGGCAAGGCAGCGCAATGCATGATGTATGTGTGTATGCACCTTGGCTTAGGGATTTCAGGTTCGCACGTCGGACCCTGCAACAGAGGAGCGCGTGGCGAAGCGGACCGATCACCCCACCATCCGCTATGGCGGCGGTCGCGGTGCAGCGCTTCGTTATGCACAAAGCTGTGTTGAGGCACAGACACTTAAATCCTGAATTGAAAATGAGCACAGTCTGAATCTATAGCCCATAGGCTGCGTGGTGGCGTTGACTCTTTCGACAACAAGTTTTTTGACTCATATTCGGCGTTCAGTGTTAGGTGCAGGCGGGGTTCTTGAGGAGTTCGGCCGTCGGGTTGTAGGGGTCAGAGGGTTTAGAGTTTGAGGTTTAGAGTTCCGGACCGCACTTGTGGTTCAGGGATGGGGCCCTAGGCCTCAATTCCCCAAATCCATATCTTTGCTCTACGTCTCTAGCTTTTAGGCTCTAAGCCCTGAGTAGCATAAACCCAGAGCCTCTGAACCCCCGGACACCCTAAACCCTAAACCCTAAACCCTAAACCCTATGTAAACCCTAAAGATTCTTTAAAGCTGATTCCCTCAGGTCCGGGGGATGGCAGATGCTTTGCAGCTGCCCACACTGGCGGAAGGCTTCGAGGAGATCATCACCATCCAGAGCCCTGGATTTGCAGACTTTTGGGGGTTTGAGGGTCTAGGGTCTAGGGTGCTTAAGGTTCAGGGTATAGGGTTTCGGGCTTGCGGTCTAAACCCTATACCCCTAAACCCCTAAACCCTACAAGGTTTATGGTGTAGTGATTGAAGCCGCGGCTCTAAAGCCTTCCTAAGCCCAAAGCCCATCAGCATGCGGAGCCCAGCTCAGGAGCCCAGAGTAAGTAGCATGTAGAGTGACAGTGTATACCGTGTAATTGATTATGCCGTTTACAAGGAGAAGCTCAATCACCGTAGGCGACAGATCAACGTGCAGGTACATACATACGTAGATAGGTAGGCAGGCAGGTAGGTAGGTGGGTGGGTAGGTAGGTCGGTAGGTAGGTAGGTAGGTAGGTAGGTAGGTAGGTAGGTAGGTAGGTAGAATTGGCATATACGTGTTTATGATATACAGTACATGTATAGACATGCACACACAGGCAAGAGCCCTTGAACCCCTAAATCTGAACCTTGAACCCTAAACCCTAAACTCTAAACCCAAAACTGCTAAATCCTAGGCTCCTAAACCCAACACTCCTAAACCCTAAACCCTAATCCCCAAAACTTCTGAACCCTAAACTCCTAAACCCAAAGCCCGGCTTCCAAGGAACTTTGCAGAAGCCGACCATCTTCTGAAATGCTGGGGTGCGGAGCCTCCAAAAGTCAGCCAAAGCCTCAGGAAGTGAGGCGCTGCCGTTTCAGGGTTTTCGATGTAGGGATTAGGGTCTTGGATTAGAGTTGGGGGGTGTAGCATTGTTACAAGACAAGGCATTCAGCTGAGAGTGTAGAGTCATGAGGATGTAGGTTTGGGAGCCCCTAAACCCTAAACCCTACACCCTAAACCCTAAAACCCTAAAGCCCGTTTCTGAACTAGACTTTAGGGCTCACAGGTGGAGGTGGAGGGTGAAGGTCATCGCTGCTAGAACATTAGCTTTCAATGCAACATTCGCGGCGTGGTGTCTAGGGTTTGTGGTCTTGGTCAGGGCATGTTACATGGTTTGAGGCTTCCACTAGGGCCTAGGAGTAGGAGCGTCCGGGGCGCATCGGACATACTGTCGTCGCCAAACTTGGGATGAAAGTTTGAGAGTTTCCTAAGTCCCCCAAACCCTAAACCCTAAACCCAAAACCTTAAACCCACGGAAAAGGGCCCTTAAAAAAAAAACCTTAAACCCAAAGGCCATCCCAAACCCTAAGCTTCTAAACTCTAAAACTAGACCCTAGCTAGCAAAGATCCGAATCTGCTGACCCTAAACCCGAAACCCTAAACCCTAAACCCTAAACCCTAAACCCTAAACCCTAAACCCCTCAGCCTCAGGCCCCGTGGTCTTCTTCAAGTAAATCCCTAAACCCTAAATCCTTAAATCCCTAATTCCCTAAACCTCGAACCCTAAACCCTAAATCCCTAATCCCTAAATCCTAAATCTCTGAATCCCTAAATCCCTGAACCCTAAACCCTAAACTCTAAACCCGAAATCCCTAAACCTCGAACCCTAAACCCTAAATCCCTATATCCCTAAATCCCTAAACCCTAAATCCCTGAACCCTAAAACCCAACTCCCTAAATCCCGAAACCTCGAACCCTAGCCCATTCTAGAAGCCCTGGGTCCTTGTTGGATACAGTTTTACATTGTTGATATAATAAAAGCCGATAAGGATTAAAAACGATCATATTTAATGTAGCCCCAACAGGAAACCAGAAGCCCTGAACCCTAAACCCTAAACCCTAAACCCGAAACCCTAAACCCTAAACCTATACGGAATAAAGTATTCATATTTAACATAGCCCCAACAGGGAACCAGAGCCAAGGCCCAGTGGGCTCTGAACCCTAAACCCTAAACCCTAAACCCCGAACCCTAAATCCCTAAATCCCTAAACCCTAACTCCCTAAAACCCTAAACCTCGAACCCTAAATCCCTAAACCCCAAACCCTAAACCCTAAACCCCAAACCCTAAACCCTAACTCCCTAAACCCTAAACCCGGAACCCTAGCCCATTCTAGAAGCCCAGGCCCAGTGGGCTTCTTCAAGTTTCCGACCACGCCCCACGTCTTCGACCTCACCGACGGGAAGGCGGCGATGTCGAAATCCCATCCTTCGGGGTTCCGGGTTTAGTATAGTGGTTTAGGGTTTAGGGTTTAGGGTTTAGGGTTTAGGGTTTAGGGTTTAGGCTACATAATTGCCAATCGTATTTTGGGGGCTCCTGATTATAACTATGGTATAATGTGGTTATCACTTCTTACGGTTCTGTGCTGTCGAAACCATACTAGAGAAGCATGAGTTATCCACAGCCGAAAGGTAGAACCACCAAGCAGTATCAATATGCACTGCAATAGCCTAAACCCTAAACCCCGAACCCTAAACCCTAAAGCGTAGGATAGTGGTGGGTATAGAAATGATACTGATAGCAACACCCCTAAACCCTAAACCCTAAACCCTAAACCCTAAACCCTAAACCCTAAACCTAAATGCAATATATCACAGCGGTAGCGGAACTGTGCAAGGCCCCGAGCCTCGAACACCAAACCCTGAGTGCCCTCAACCCTCAACCTTGAGGTTACGGTTTAGGGTTAAGGGTCTGGGGTTTAGGGTTTAGGGTCTAGGCTTTAGGGTTTAGGGTTTAGGGTCTAGGGTTTAGGGTTTAGGGTCTAGGGTTCAGGTACCGTAGTTCTCTAAAGTAGGGTCGGTCCCTTTAGGGTCCCTTTTAACAGGGTGCCGTGCCATTTTGGGGACCTAAAAAGGCACCCTGTTTTAGAGATCTACCCATATGACTTCGTAAACCCGATACAGCGCTATAGAAAACCCACAGCGCGGCTACACAGAAGCCGGAATTACTACCAATAAAATCGCTTCCGGGGCTCTGATTAAAATTACAGTCTATTCTGAAACATTCTCCCAACGCCTACTCGAAGTAATCAGGCCCTTACATCAATGCCCCTATAATACAATGCCTTTATAAGTTCCCAAACCATCCTACAACCCTGAACCTCTAAACCCACTAAGCCCCCTAAAGCCCTAAAGCCCGAAAGCCCTAAAGCCCGATGCCCTTATGTGAAGCCCGAACCCCCTGCAATCTCAGAGGCCCTCACCGAAAGCGACCGCCTGCTGAGTGAGAAGGAAGCGCAGCAGTTCTACGACGCTTGGTTACTGACTTTCTGCCTTCCCTTCAGGGTCTCAGGCTCGGGTTTCAGCGTTGAGGATTTTAGGTTTCAAGCTTCGGGTTGAGCTGTTTGCGCTGTGCTTCGGATCCGTGTGTCCTGCAAGCTCGGTTGAAATAGCTTTCCACAAATAGGTTTCGACGTCAATAACCGCCATGAGGGGTTCTATTCTCCAGTACCACGGCCGCTACTGATAACTCTGCTGCTGCTTCTGCTACTGCTACCACAGCACGAACGACCGCGACAACTATCACACCACAAAAACTTAAGATGCAGCTGCCGCTGCGACGACGATGCGACGACGATGCGACTACGGCGACGACGACGACGACGACGACGACGACCACTACGACGACGACCACTACGACGACGACGACAATGACAACGACTACTGCTGCTCCTGCTGCTGCCGCTGCTGCTTGGCATTCGACTAATGTATCAGGCACATGCTGATTTAGCAGGCCTGTGGGACATCTTACATTCTCCCTTGTCGGGCTTCGGCTTAAGGCTTAAAGACAGAGGATTTCATTTAGGGGCTGTGAAGAGCCAACCTAGTTGAAAATATTTGTGAGCCATACCAGGATGGCAAGACTGTCATCATCGTGGAGGCGAGGGCAGTTTTGGGCTAAAGAGCTTTTGGAGTTCGGTCGCTGCCAAGGCTTACTATATGGATTGCTACAGGGACTTTAATTTAAAGCTTTCCGGCTTTCTTGCGAGCACAGAGATCTCGAAAGACCATGCAGACTGTGGCCTAACCACTCTGTGTCTTGTGGCTCTGAACCTGGGAGCCCCAAACCCCAAACCCTACCTATAGTCTCCATTGTAATTCCTTTTTTTGGTTTAACCAATTATATATTAAGGAGAACTACAATGGAGACTATTGGTGGACCCCAAACCCCAAACCCAAAGCCCTTAACCATCGAACCAGTTAGCCCGACGCCTGATCCATGAGCTCCGAGACACTTGGAAGAGCTTCCTTTCAGTTCGATGAGGCTCTACGACATTTGCGATTCCCCTGCCTGCTGGCCTTTAGGGCCTAAAGACCCTAAGCCCTAATGCCTAAACCCTAAGCCCTAAAGCCTAAGCCCACAGCCCTAAAGCCTAAACCCTAATGCCTAAACCCTAAGCCCTAATGTCTACACCCTAAGCCCTAGACCCTAAGTCCTAAAGCCTAAGCCCTAAGCCCTAAAGCCTAAGCCCTAAACCTTAAGCCCGAAACCCCGTTTGCCTACAATGGAGCAACCACCCAGAGAGTCCAACATAGCTCAATTAAGGAATAGAGCTTAAATTATAAGGGCCTCATACAAGATTTAAGCTCTATTCCTTATCTAAGGGGTTTTGGGCTCTTTGGGCCCTAAGCCCTAAACCCTAAACCCTAAACTGCTCAGAGGAGAAGATCGATGGGGCCAACCTGGGCATCTCCCTCACGGACCCCCACCCCGGTTGCTGTTCTGCTCCCTAGACCCCAAAACCTAAGTCCTAAACTTACTGTAGTGTTCAGGGCGGTGCTTTATAAAGCCTAAGGGTTTAGGGTTTATGGTTCTGGGTTCAGGGTTTAGGGTTGAGGAAGCCGAAACCCGCATTTATTGAAATCTTGACTTTATCGTTACTCTGATCGAGCAAGCATTGTGTTGGCAAGATAGCTGTAGTCACCACGATGCTGATAATCACCGGTAGTGTGGTTGGATTGGTCAGCACCGTGCGTATGTTTGGTAGTGATGGTTTGAGCTAGGCTTCAGAGCGTGACGGCTTTGATGCGAATGAACCACTGACGGTTTCTTGGTTATTGAACCTTCTGCTTGGGTGCTATTGCACATGGGTAATTCTCTAAATTAGGGTCCCCTTTAGGGTCCTTTTCAAAAGGGTGCCGTGCTATATCGGGGACCCAAAAAGGGACCCTAATTTAGAGAACCACCCACATGGTAGTTGTTCAGTTCGAAGACCTCTCTTCCCAACATCGCCGCAAGGTTATTGTCCTCGAATCTCCTTGTCAAGTAGGGTACGCAATACTCCCAATGGCTGTATGTTAGGGTTTAGGGTTTAGGGACCTAGTGCCCAGAGTTTAGGCTTGACGGGCTGGGATTACTAGAAACATCAGTTGCACAGAGCGTGCCAAATCGACAACTTAGACAGATAACACAACCCTCAACTTATAGGTGTGTCACCAACAGAGCCTGACTTTCAAGTTGTCACGATGCTGCTGTCCCACGTCCTCCTTTTGGGTTTAGGGTGCAGGGTTGAGCCTTCATGTTGGGGAATATCAAGAGCCCGGGTCACGAAGGCTTCCGGTTCCTAAGCCCTAAACCCTAAACCCCAAACCCTAAACCCCAAACCCACCCCAGACCCCATGCACTCTTTGGTTTTAGGGTTTAGAGTTTCGGGTGGAGGGTAACGTGGGGGCCTAAATAATTACCTATACTATTTTGGTGGGGTTCCTTACTCTACTTGTGGCATAATGGTGCCCAGAACCCTATTTTAATTATGACGGCCCCTATATTAGGTGCAGGTTTCAGGGTTTCGACTCCCTTTTCGACGCTCGAGATCCTGAACCCGCGTGCCAAAACACAAAGCCCCAAAACAGGACCCGTCCAAGCAAATGACAGCCTATGCCTCGCAACCATGCAGCCCAAGGGAACCCTATTGTAGAGCACTCTAGTACCCTTTTAAAGGGAATTCTACTAGAGAGCCCTCTAGTATCCCTTTGAGCCTTAAACTACACCCCCTGAAAGGAGCCCTAAACCCTAAAGCCTAAACCCTAAAATACCCTTCGAAGGAGCCCTAAACCCCGGAACTCCCGAAGGAGAGCTACGAGCCCTTGTATCAGAATCGCGCCCACTACGTGTCCAGCAGCTACGCCACGCAGTGGAAGGCTTTGGGGTGGTTTTAGGGTTTAGGGTCTTCGGGTTCAGAACAGGGTCTTCGGGTTTGGGGTCTTCG